TAGTTGTAGTAGTAGTAGTAGTTGTAGTAGTAGTAGTAGTTGTAGAAATAGTAGTAGTAGTTGTTGTAGTAGTAGTTGTAGTAGTAGTAGTAGTTGTAGTAGTAGTAGCAGCATCAGGTATTAGTAGTTGTTGTTTTAATAGTAGTAGCAGGAGGAGGAATGGGAGGGAAGGATAAGCTTAAGCAGAAGCAGAAATTGAAGAAGAAGAAGAAGAAGAAGAAGAAGAAGAAGAAGAAGAAGAAGAAGAAGAAGAAGAAGAAGAAGAAGAAGAAGAAGAAGAAGAAGAAGAAGAAGAAGAAGAAGAAGAAGAAGAAGAAGAAGAAGAAGAAGAAGAAGAAGAAGAAGAAGAAGAAGAACAACAACAACAACAACAATAATCACAACAACAACAACAGCAACAACAACAGCCACAACAACAACAAAAGAAAGAAGAAGTAAAAACAATATTTTTTTTTTATGTTATCATTACAAATTCCATCTTGGTTTTAAAACTATGTAAACCAGAGTTCACTACAGTGCTTATTATGCTTTTTGAAGCTGATGATGACTTGCCAAAGCGAATCATTATTTTTTAAATGTCACAAATATATTTACCCAGAAATTCAAAAGATAATATTTATATTGTCTGATGTTTTGGTTGATCTGACCACATGTTACTGCGATGTGTTTATGCTTGCTGCTCGGTGGAATCTTAACTGACTTGTTTGTTTCGGTTTATGTTAGCAGCGAAGTAAATTTACAATTTTTATTAAGGGAGCCAACACAGAGAAAACATTGAAGAAAGGGGTGGGGTGGGAGCGTAAGTGCTAACCCTATATATGTTTTCTAATCGGTTGCCGGGAATAGGGGGGGGGGGTGGGGGCGAGGGAGGGGTCTATTCTTGGTTAAAGATCCTAATAATAATAATAATAATTTAGCGAGTTGCTAGACGCCCGCCTGCGGATTGGAAGGTTGTGGGTTCGCGTCCTGACGAAGCTGGACTTTTTTTAAATGAGCGTGACTCCCAGAACGGCCCCCTGGGAAGTAAAGACGACCGGCGTGATGCTGGTCACATCAGCCACTAAGTGCCGATTGTTCTATAAAAATATAGGGTACTAGCCGTACCCGGCCACGTGTTGCTGTGGCCCAGATTGGTGAAATGGAGAGGAAAGAAAATAGTTCTCAGCTAACAGTGTCTGTCATACGGCCCCCCCCCCCTCACCTTTCCACCAATCATATTTCCCTCTCCGTAGGATTGAAAAATCATCACCTGGCGAAATTATTAAAATATAAATAGTCAAGAAATAAGAACATTAAAATAATATTTTAAGCTCTCTCAGCTAACGGTGTCTGGCATAACCCACCCCCCCCCCCCCCCGCTATCCCATTCACATCTCCCTCTACCAAAGATTGAAAAATCATCACCTGGCGAAGTCATATCTCCCCCTCCGATTGACTGAAAAATCATCCATGGCGAAATTATTTAAATAGAAATAGTTAACAAATGAGAACATTAAAATAATATTTTAAGCTCTCTTAGCTAACTGTGTCCGGCAAACCACCCCCTCCCCCCCCCCCCCCCTTTTTCCCTATCATATCTCCCCCTCCGAAGGATTGAAAAATCATCACCTGGCGAAAGTATTAAAATAGAACAAATTAAGAAATGAGAACTTTAAAATAATATTCTAAGCTCTCTAAGCTAACTGTGTCTGGCATAACCCCCCCCCCCCCCCTTTTTTTTCCTCCCAATCATAACATCTTCTCGGAAGGATGGGAAAGTCACCGTGTAACGAAATATTGTAACTAAATTGAGCTTTGCCTCCGTGTCTACCCAGACTTAAATATGTAGCATTAACTTGTACAGAGAAGTAAATGTAGCCAGTGTAACAGCTACCACATCATTCATCCAGTACCAGTACTACTGCAACCACAACCACCATTACCATCACAACAACAACTGTCACTACATTCTGTGTAGGTCGGTGTAGAAAAGAGGAGTTAGCGCCCCATGCTGTCGCCACGGACTATTTAGTTTGATTTTGCCCTGGACATAGAGGGGGGGGGGTAACTTCATCACGTAACCAGTGATGGAACCCACAGTGAAAAGTACACTATACTCACGAATAGGGGAGAAAAATACTCCACACCCGTCATCTCTCCCTCTCCGAGGGAACGATTTTTAACTGACCTTGGCATCTGTGTCCACCCAAACTAAACTGGACTGTAAGCCGTCTTAGTTAACAGTTTCTGTCATCGCCGAATAGTTTTTGATCGAGAAGCGTCGCGGGGAGGCTCATTAGGACTTAACTGAAATCTGATGTCTTTGGGCGAAAGGGGCAGATTTCGCAGCCTGGCTGTAAACCACAACACAACGTGGCAACCACCCTTTTAAGGGAAAAAGAACAAAAGGGAATAGAACAACGATCACCAGAGTGAAGGATGACATACTTACAACTTAACTACCGAAGACTGAAGAGTTTAGGTCAGATATCGCAGCCTAGCTGTAAACCACTACACAACGTGCCAACGGCCATCTCGAGGGCGAACGAAGATTATCCGTGACATGACCATTGAGGATCACGTCGCCGCTGTCGCAGGCTAGCTGTAAACCCCAAAACCGAAAAAGGCGTAGATATCGCAGCCTAGCCATAAACCACAACACAACGTGCCACTTTTGCGGTGTAGTCGGGGGAGGGGGGAGTGTCTTTGAGATTTATGGCTAGTGGTGTCGCCACAGACTGTGTAGGTTATGATATTTTTTCCCTGACCGTAAAGAATTCCTTACCTTACCGACGTTTCGAACGCGGATATCTCGCTTGAGAGCCCAGCGTTCTAACCGCTCTAATAATGTTTTAACAGGTAAATAAATACAATTAAATATTTGAAATCGGCAGGGCACATGATGATTATATGATGATGATGATGATGATGAAAACTATTCACTGACTAAATGGTACCTTTCCGTCTTTTCAGACAATAGTGTTATACTGGGCTGTGATAAGGCGTAGGACTCACTGACCATGGCAATGGCGAGTACGACTAACAAGACCAACCCGCATTGCGTAAAGTCTTCCACAATTATGGCATTGGATTTCAGGACCCTTGTTAACATTCGTGTCTAGTCTGTTTCTTCTCAGACGCTCCGCTTTTATCCTTTCTGCAGTCATTTCCTCCTTCATTCTCATGCCCTTTTCATGCTTCCACCACACAACACTTTCTGTGGCATTCTGTTCCCCGAATCCACGTCAATATATGTATTATTCATGTCCCGCTTGCAGGCATCTTTATATCGTAGTAAAGGCCCTCCTCGACATCTTTTACCCATCTTTAGTTCATCATAGAGGATGCCCTTAGAGACTCTGCCATCCTCCATTTTCCAGGTGCCATGCACCCACAAGAGCCTTCGTAGATCGCGCAATGAGAAGACTTGCAATAGCTGCTCTTTCCAATACCTCGTTTTTTTTAATCCGGTCCTACCACTGGACTGTATAAACAAATACTCCATTTAAAAAAAAACTTAATAATTAGAGAACTGCTTGGGATCCTTAGTCGATGTCTGTGGCTTGCGTGCTGATAAAGAGCTTCGCAACAGCAAGGTGTCGGGTTAGATCCTAGCTGCGGGCGATTGGGCAACAAACCGCTTTGTGTTGGTTTCGAGAGTGATAAGGGGAGCCGACCGTCTCTCGGCCTTAGCAAACTGAATGTAAAATTGCCTAGTGAAATCACATCATCATCAGTTCTCTTTATGCCAAGTGGTACTTGAGGCTTAAGAGAGGTCTTTCCGTGCCTTTTTGTCCTGTGCAATCTTCAGTGCGGTTTTCCACGTCAGAAACGCCGCACTCGGTTCATTTTCCATCGTTCGTCTCTGTGTTGTTTTTTGGGCCCCTTTATCTTTTCTTTCTCCCTGCTATCCGTGTGAGGGCTATTTTGGCAGGTATATCAAGGTTAATTCTTACCTGTCGTGGACTGTCCAAAACCTGTCTACCTGCTTTCACTGATTCCCATAATATGCAGTGTATAGTTTTGCATTTCTTGAATTACTTGGGCGGTTTGGGCCTCTTCAAAAAAATAGTTTTTAAATCCGAGAAGCTAATTAATAATTTGGTTTTGACATCCAGTACACTTGTTTTCCCCATCATGGGCTTCTTTTCGGCTTTCATCCATGTTGTTCATGCTGACAGAGGGACTCTGTCCCAAGACCGCCGGACGTTTGGAGCACTTATTTCCGAGCAAAGAGGACCGGGAGCCCATCTTTAGTCTGGCTGCTTACAAGTGAATTCTCCGGCTTGGGTGACCCACCACCAGCTCAGGGAATAGAGTAGGCCGTGGGTGACACTGCCAGGAACATACGTTGACGCCGAAATAGCTCTCAAGCTCCCCCACCACCTCTGGGGGGAAGGGGGGAGGGGTGTGAAATCACAGGCAGACAAAAATACTGTTGTTGGTTCTGCAACGTCCTGTAAAGGTTAGGCAACTAAACAAAAATTTTGCTTTCCTGAATTTAGCAGCGTATTCTTTACCGGACCTTGCAGAACTAACCCTAGCATTTGCTGCTGCTGTTGTTGTTGTTGTTGTTGTTGTTGTTGTTGTTGTTGTTTGTTGTTGTTGTTGTTGTTGTTGTTGTTGCTATTATGAAGTTTCTAGTCAAATTTTGCTTTAATTAGTTTGTAATTGCCCTGAACGGTCAGATCTCAATGTGTTTTAGCCCCCGGTTCCGGCGCTTCTCTCATCTACAAAGGCTGTTTATCAAAACTGGCATTCACACGCTAACAAGCGGAAAACGAACAAAGGCTGGCTTGTGATGTATAACAAATAGAACCAGACATCAATGAGGGCTGGTTTGTATCCCACATTTTTTATTTTGTCTTTTTTTTTCCTCTCCAGATCACCTTCCTGCATCTCACCACCTATGGCAAGATGGTCACATTTCAAATGAGCTGACATAACAAAGCCTGTAGATGTATCCATCCGTCTGTTGTTTCAAAGTGGAAACTTGCACCTCGCTGAACCTGATTAAATAGTTCCAGATATGGTTGGCGGGGCAAGCAATGGGTCCAAAAGAACGAAACAAAGGAACGTCGGGAGGGGAGTGGACATCCCACTGGAGACTATTAAACATGGTATGTCTTTCTATCAGTATGTCCGTCTGTTGTGTCTGCCCGTCTATCCATTCATCCGCCAGTCTAATTAATCTACACGTGCATATACCAGTATTTTGGTGCTTTCTTAATATACTACCTCAAACTGGGGAAATCCACAAGTGACGGGACAGTCTAACACTTCAGGGGGTGGTAGATAGGCAGCATGCAGTCGTGGTACCTAGGCTGCATGCAGTCGTGGGACCTTGGCTGCACTGTCTCGTAGGACGTAGGTGGGTTGGGGTTAGAGCCAGTTCTAGATTTTTTTGTGGGGTCGTTAAAGGCATCAGAAAGTCAGAAAACCCAGTCTTACCACACTCTAAAATGATGGACTGTCCTGTGAAGTCATCTGGAGTAGGGAAGAACCCAGTATTTTTGTCTACTTGTTCTTCTTCACTATAATTTATTAGTGAAAGGATCGTCTTTATTGCACCTGGGTTTGTCACATACCACCCGGTCTCTCAGAATGGCTAGCATAAACCACGAGCTTCGTAGCTCCGGTGACGATCCCAATAGATTTTCAGAAATATTGCACTCACAGAACTAACGATGCAGCCATGAAATGAACCCACGACTTGTGGATCATGAGGCAAATGGTTTTGCCAATTCGTCAACTTGACCTCCGTTTAACGTGCTTGTATATATATATATATATATATTTTTTTTTTTCAGGACAGGGACGAGACATTTCACAATCTATTACCTAGCATGTGTTTTGTGTATCTTGTCAGGTATTAACATCGACATACAATAAAACACAAAAATTAACCCTTTCCACTGAAAAACACAAATCCCATCGCCTTCTGTTGCTACACTGTGATTAGTGATTAGTGGGGTCTATCGTCACAACACTCTGGACTGATCCATGGGTAGTTACTCTATGTATCTCACTAACCTTAGTTTAAAACATCTACTGATTACCACTTTTGTTTACGATCTACCACGTGCTCTTTTTGTTTGTACAACGCTGGATGGCTCATTTTAATTGTCACAACTTATGCCGTTTTCAGCAACTGCATAATGGGAGGAGTCAGATAATTGGCTTTCCAGTGTACTGTGATGGAAGCTACTTTTTACTACTTCATGATGATGATGTGTCAAGGTGTCATCGACAAACACACACTCACACACACACACACACACAGAGAGAGAGACAGAGAGAGAGAGAGAGAGAGAGAGAGAGAGACGGACAAATAACCAAACCATCGTTGCATCGTGAATCTTTAAATGATACCACCCTAGCCACGAAAACAAGACAAGGGTCCTATTTACGTTTCCCGGCTTATCTGCACACTAACAGACCTTTCATTCATACTTTCTCAGACTGTTCTACGTCAGAGGGGTGCCACATACTCTTGTCTTCAATTATATCAGCGCCGATGTCGCGCATTCTATACTGCACGACGACAGGGCTTTTAATGACCCCATAACATCTAGAACTGGCCCTAACCCAGCCCACAGCCTGAGCCCAAGTCAAACGAGAGACTCTTTTCAACAACATGACAACAAAAAAAAAAAAACAGTACATGACACCCTGCTGACCTAGACATGACTGAGAAAGTGTGTAAATGGCCGGAAAACGTGAATAAGACCCAACAAGTACTATTCCTTACAAATGTCTGTCTAATGCAGACTTTTATAGCAGACTTAATTGTCCTCCTGCGAAATTTATTCTTCATTGAAGTAACTGCCAGATGTACCTCCGCGTTTTGCTTGCCACATTTTTGGGCGATTAAGGGCAAGTTACTCAAACAATGCGATCGATATTTATGTGCCAGGTAGGCCTACTGGCGCCTAGGTTTGTGCTAATTTGACTTTCACTCTTTGAAAAATAGTTTCTATGTGGCTTATGCTAATGCGTTTTCTTGACAAAGACGAGATGCATCTTTTATGTGAGTAAAGAGAATAAGACAGAGGAAGAGGCGAAGAGGGAAGAGAAGGAGGCACCAAGCAAGTAATTATATGATTACCAGAGAGACGGGGGAAGAGAGAGAGAGAGAGAGAGAGAGAGAGAGAGAGAGAGAGAGAGAGAGAGAGATCTGCTTGCAGTTTTCATGAGTTTGCAGAACAAAGGATTATGCGCAGGGGTCTGCTTCCTGGTATTGTTAGGTAAGTATACTGGGTATGGTACCTATTTGATCTTTGATCTATACTTATATGTCTGCCTGCCTGCCTGTCTGCCTGCCTGCCTGCCTGCCTGTCTGTCTGTCTGTCTGTCTGTCTGTCTGTCTGTCTGTCTGTCTGTCTGTCTGTCTGTCTGTCTGTCTGTCTGTCTGTCTGTCTGTCTGTCTGTCTGTCTGTCTGTCTGTCTGTCTGTCTGTCTGTCTGTCTGTCTGTCTGTCTGTCTGTCTGTCTGTCTGGCTGCTGTCTGGCTGGCTGTCTGGCTATCTATCTGTCTGCTTGTCTGTATGTTCGTTCATATTTCTGTTTGTTCATCTGTCTCTCTCTCTCTCTTCTCGTTATCACTCTTTTCCTCCACCCCTCCCCCTTTCCTTTCAGGCTACTGTTTGCCCGTCTCTAGAAGCTGGTCTGCCGACTCAAACTTCCTAATTAAGTTCAGTACATGACGTCCAAGTGGCATGACAAAATATTCTTAAATCTACAGTGCTGAACTGTACCCTGCATTACCTTACACAGCTTCATCTTACTTTATCTGGAGTGCTGCGTGGTCTCGAGGCATGGTGTCCGCCTTGAGTGCTAGAGGTCCCGGTGAAGGCTGGGATTTTTTCAAGTGGACTTCTAGTCATTTCCTCTTGTCTCTAGGTAGTGAGATCAGACGCCTGTGTGTATTGTTGCGCACCTAAAAGATCGCTTGGTATTTGTAAATCGAAAAGAATAGCCTAACAACGCTACCCGGGCAAAATTTGGAGGTAGTTAAATTATCTACCCATAATATTGCAATAGCCTCGCCGGTGCTAGTGCACTGAGCTGAAAGTCTCCAGACTCAGACTTAAGTTAGAAGTAGAAAGCTACACTGATGGGTTGCTACCCGTGTGCTATAATGTTGATCCGTTGTTCAAACCTTAAACCTCAGTCTTACTTTATCTGTCCCCTACAGGTCACAGGATGGATCCCCAAGAACGGATGTTTCTGGATGCTGTTGAGAAGGGCGACAAGCCAACAGTGATCCGCTGCCTGACTGGTCCCTCGCCGGTTAGTGTCAACAGTACAGACATGCTAGGACGCTCAGCCATCCAGATCGCCGTTGACAATGAGAATAGTGAGCTGGTGGAGCTGCTGCTGCGGCAGGATGGCGTCAAGATCGGTAAGTGGGATTTTAATCTCCATGGCGCCATTGTAAAGGAAAGAAGAGATCCGCCAAGCATGTCGTAAAAGTTGAATTTGTTTCCTTTAAGTCAGAGGGCAGTCAGAAATATATTTTTTTTTTTTGCTAACACTATGTTATCAGTGCCAAACGTGGACACTTACATCCTTTAATGAACGTAAAAATGTGATAGCAGAGATTAAATGCCTTAGAAGAGCTGCGTGAGTTTCAAGGAAAGACAGAATACGAAATCCCGAAAACAGACGAATGCAAGGAATAAAGCCAATTCTATAGGTCATCAAGGAACAACAAATGCAGTGGTAGGACACTTACAAAAATGCCCTGGTACTATCTGCCACAGCAAGCCACACTGAAACGTTACAACGGGTATAGAGTTAGAGAAAGGCCTCGGAAAGAACAGAGTAATGGCATAAAGAACAGCTTTACAGAAATGAACATCAGTCTTAATTGTGCTCTTGGCAGAGCTCATTACCAATCGTTTCATCACCCCGTTCCCCTCCAGACCCCTTCTTCGACACGCAGAAAAGTCAGATCTGTAGAACGGATGTGCACGCAACACTCAGATTCTGGGACAAGACTAAAGTCTAAAGGTGAACGAACAACCAGAACTTTCCGCCGGAGTTTACAGCCGATAAGGAGAAGAAGAAAGACGAAAGGATGTATTTTTTGTCAAAGTAACGGACGCTTTCTACGACACTGGTGCATTATTATATACTTGTATTGAATAATCGGCATTGGCTGAAGGATGTCTTCAAACTCACACCGGTACTCTATTGAGGTCGGGTGATTTGAGACGAGAAGGAGAATTCTCAAGACTATGTAAATCCCATCCTGATGTAAGAAAGTGAATCGTGGACAGTTGGCCGATTGGTGGAAAGTTATATGGAAGAGGCGTAGATGTGAGTTTGTAGACGAATGATGAGAATACAATGGACTGGTCAAAAGAGTAGATGTTTTGACAGAAACTGACTCAAGAAGACGACTGATTGTCCATATCCGAAGGAGACAATTTACGTTATTTGACCAAGTCATGACAAGGAGAAAACTGGCGTACTGTCGATGGGAAAGTCAGAGGGGAACGCGACCAAATGAGATAGTGAGAGAAGATGCTACACAGTTTGGCATCATGGTATGGAAGATCATCCGTGTCAGAATTAACTGAAAGCACACAAGGTGGTTGGCGTCTGCGGCTTAGACGTCGCCAACGCGGTTCGTATAACCGGGGTGCCGGGTAGGGTTCGATCCCAGCTGCGGACGGTTTGTCTTGCGTTAGATACGACAGTGCTACCGAGAGATGACCGTCCCGAAAGCGATGACAAACAACTGGACGTAAAATTTGCCCCCCCCCCCCCCCCCCCCCCCCCCCCCCCCCCCAAAAAAAAAAAACGGCGGAGGTTGGTTCTGCAATGTGCTGTAAAGGAACTAAATATTCGAATCTGTTCGGATTTGGAATGTACTGTAAATAACTAACCCTGGCTCCTAGATGATCAAACTGGTATAAGTAAATGCCATTGGGAATAAAGATATTTGGTTTGTGTTAAACACATCATGTATCGAGAGCCTTTTGGTCTCTTTAGATATAGGTTTAGCAACATGAGCCTTGTGGGCCATTTGTTTGATAAGTCTCTTTCACATCACTTGGATGTTTCTTGGCTACATTTAAAGGCATAAGCCACGTGTTTTGAAGTCCCTGATACATTAACAGATCACACATCTTCAGATCCCCACCTGTGCTACTGGTAATCGTGTAGGGTGGCGAAACGTGACAGCCGGCCTTTATTACTACGGCACCTAATGATGATTGACAATTACTGTGTATGTACATTGACGATCGTAAATCGTGATAACTTCCGCCGATTTTGTGCAATCATCCATTCAGGAGACGCGTTACTCTATGCAATCCGGGAGGGCGTGTACAGAATCGTAGAGATGCTCATCAACCACCCGTCAATCTCCCATGACATGCTTGGTGCTGATTGGGCTAAAATGCGTCACGTGGACGATGAAAGTTTTGATTACTCCCCGGATATTTCCCCAGGTAAGTAATAAGGTAAAGGAACCTTTTAATGTGTGGTCTATCGCACATATGATGCTACTCATTATTTGTTTAGATCAAGCGTCCCTTGGTAGGAGATATGATCAATATCGCCCTGGCCAACTTTACTTCCCATTACATTACCTGGTACTCATTTTAGCCTAGGTCAACCTTATAGACCAATTTAAAAAAAAAAAAAAAGAACAGCTCACAAATTTGGGCCCTGGCCCTGCCCATAAACACAGTTATGAATGACGGAGGCGGTATAGGACACTGTGATTGGACGGTGAGTCTCCGCCTTAAGCTGTCAGATGGTCACGTCTAAGCGGCAGTTGTGTGAGTTTTTTCTCGTGTGTATATGTTGGAATGGGGACAGGTCCCAGTGGGTTTTCTGAGGGACTTAGTATATAGTATTATTGTTTGTTGGTGGGTACATGGCAGCCGTCTAGGATTTTACTTAGGAACTGAGTTTACTGGCCCAGCTGAATGTTCAGGGCGAAACCATGGCACATAGGATGCACTCTGTCGTGTGACCTAGGTTCAGTTCGTTGCAACTGGGATTTCGGTTAAGTCTAGCTGTAGATTTTATGGAGTCGTTAAAATCGCTAAGTTGCTGTAGTGTAGAGGTCTCATCACGGGAGACTGCGTTATGGATGACCTCAATGTATGTCATAAAAAGATTTTTTACATATTTTTCCCCATAAATGTGTGTCATAAAATGATGAGTTAGAAGAAAGAACGGAGCACTTATGGGTTACTACCCGTGTGCCAGTATTTTGATCCGTTGTTCAAACTTCAAACTTGTCATAAAATGTCGCCTATCGGACACAGCCACTGCGACACCCCTCTAACTTCTGCAAAAGTCGACTCGGCTGAGTAAGTATGAATGAAAGGCTGCATAGTGTGTAAGTGGGCGGGACAGAGCCCGAAATTGTGATAAGAACCACACAGACACAAAATCCAAATCCACCTGGTAGCAGAGTTGAACGAAAGACCTTCGGGTGGGTTGTCGAGTAATGTCCCCCAAGTAAGATAACGTAACATTTCATAATTTTTTTTTCACATGTATGAAATCATAGGGATGAGAAGAAAAGGCTTAAGAAAAAAAAATTGTTTATGTCAGCTTTATAAAAGCAGTTACAATGAACAACTAAAGGACGTTGCGGCGATTAGGCTTCATCAGCAAAGAATAAGTAAACATACAAGCAATAGACAGAAGGGAACAGAGACGCATGTACAGGCAGGATCCAATAATACACAGCGCCATCAGTGAGTTGGTAAAAAAGGAAGTAGTAGTAGCAGGAGAGCAGCAGCCGTGGCACAACTAGTGTCAGTAGTAGTAGTAGTAGTAGTAGTAGTAGTAGTAGTAGTAGTAGTAGTAGTAGTAGTAGTAGTAGTAGTAGTAGTAGTAGTAGTAGTAGTAGTAGTAGTAGTAGTAGTAGTAGTAGTAGTAGTAGTAGTAGTGACTGTGATTGTGGTAATGGTGGTGGCAGTGGTGTATTCAGCATCTACGTTTGATAATGACCTTCATTATCATTGGCATTATTACATTAGTATCTAAATTCTTTGAGTGTGTGTGTGTGTGTGTGTGTGTGTGTGTGTGTGTGTATTTGTGTGTGTGTGCAACAAAAGCCATTTGTCTCAGAAACTGCGCATTAATAAACTACGACATATGTGTACATTCCTTCAAGTTTACAGATAATAATTCACCCTCCTCTTCTCTTACATTCTGATACGCCCCTGATAAGGCCTTGTTCACGTTAAGAAAAGATATAAATCCGAACGAAAAGTATATTAGCAAGCTTCACAATAGACCAACTACAAACAAAACGTGAACTTGCGGTTATGGAGCCTTCATAAGCACATACAAATCAAACAACACTACACAAATTCACAAAATTACTTTGGTGGTATCTCGAAATAGCCGGGTCGATGGTTTCTCAGCAGACTGCCTACATGTGTCGGCTGGTGGAATAAATACCCCCTGTGGAGTACCAGGTGTCATAACTAGGGAATTCATGTTCATTTTCGTGTTCTTGTTGATGTTAGATACTTGATTCAGTTTGAACGGTCAAGCTCACATGGTAATCTGTTGACTTTGTATTATTTTTAACAAATAGTATCGAAAGTTATATTTTTACTGCTGTGGTTTTCGTATTTTTTTTAATTAAACCAGAAATAGGAAGGAAAAAACAACAACAACGGAATGAGCTGAACACAGTACAACATAATATTAGGAAGACTCAGGGAAGTGACTAGAAACACCAGTCTGGATTAAAGCAAAATCTATGTGTCGCACGACCGCCGAATATAAATGGGAAGGGGGTTGGGGTGGGGGGTGAGGGGGGGGGTTAGTACCCTTACAAATGATCCAGTGAACTGGGAGGACCTCAGTGAGCACTTTAGGCAAATACAATAATAACAATAACAATCTGGCAAAAATATTAACATATAGTTTCAACAATTTTGTAAAACGTATGTGACTATACAGTAAATATATAATGAGATCTTTAACTAATATGCCCGAATTGTGGTGGGTGGACATAATATAATCTGTTTTATGCTGACGACACAGTCTTGATAGCAAAACGTCAGACAGAACTACGGGAAATGATAGACATTGTTGTGTTAGAAAGTGGAAGAATGGGCTTCAGTTAGAATCCTGGGAAAACAGAAGTAATGGTGGTATCAAAGACAAGAACTATTCCTAAATGTGTAATAATAGTCAGTGGTGTAATTTTAGGACAAGTACAGAAATGTAAGTACCTGGGCACATGGATAACATCAGATGAAGGATGCATTATTGAGAATAGATACAGAATAGAACAGGCAAAAACTACATTTTATAAAAACGAAGAACATCTTGTGCAACATATCTCTGTCATTGATGGTTAGAAAAAGAATTCTTGCTTGCTACATACATACAGTTTGCTACATACATCCAATTTGCTACATACATCCAGTTTGCTACATACATCCAATTTGCTACATACATCTAGTTTGCTACACACATCCAATTTGCTACATGCATCCAGTTTGCTACATACATCTAGTTTGCTACATACATCCAGTTTGCTACACATCCAGTTTGCTACATGCATCCAGTTTGCTACATACATCCAGTTTGCTACATACATCCAGTTTGCTACATACATCTAGTTTGCTACACACATCCAGTTTGCTACATGCATCCAGTTTGCTACATACATCTAGTTTGCTACATACATCCAGTTTGCTACACACATCCAGTTTGCTACATGCATCCAGTTTGCTACACACATCCAGTTTGCTACATGCATCCAGTTTGCTACATACATCCAGTTTGCTACATACATCCAGTTTGCTACATACATCCAGTTTGCTACATACATCCAGTTTGCTACACACATCCAGTTTGCTACACACATCCAGTTTGCTACATACATCCAGTTTGCTACATACATCCAGTTTGCTACATACATCCAGTTTGCTACATACATCCAGTTTGCTACATACATCCAGTTCTAACATATGGCTGTAAGTCCTGGACAATCGGTAGGCAGGCCAAACAATATCTTGAGGCCTCAGAGATGTGGTTTTACAGAAGAATGCTTAAAATACCGTGGACAGCCAAAAAGAGCAACCAAGGGGTTTTCAAAGAGGCAGGAGCCCGAAGGCAACTGATCACAGACATCAAAGGAGACATTCATCATTTTTCGGCCATGGTATGAGAAGAGGGAAACTAGAACATGTTGTGACCACTTGAAAAATCTGTGGAATGAGAGATAGAGGAAGAGAACGAGAGAAGGTTCTTGACATTCTTTTTGCATGGCATGGAGATGTGTCAGCACACGAACTGAAGTGCAGGTTTGGACAAACAAGAACTTTCCCTTGGAGTTTACAGCAGGTGAATGCTGGGAAGAAGAAGAAGAAGAAGAAGAAGAAGAAGAAGAAGAAGAAGAAGAAGAAGAAGAAGAAGAAGAAGAAGAAGAAGAAGAAGCAGCAGCAGCAGCAGCAGCAGCAGAATCTGCCATTATTTTCATTGTCACAGTCATTACCATATCGCGATTCTCAAGCTATAAATACTAAAAGCACGTGTTGTCACTACTTTACTTTTATCTCCTACCCCTGCCCGCACTTACAGTAGTGTTAGCGGCCCACTGCAACCAGTTTGAGATCCTTCAGCTGTTGCTGGTCAATGGCGCCAACATCGACAGACCCCATCAGCTGTCATGCTCCTGCAAAAAATGCCAAGCAAAAGTGCACGCCGACAGGTCAGTTATGTGTGTTCCCTGTGTGGGTTCCGCGGCCCCATTGTAGATACAAGGGTGCTTTATTATTTCCTACACCACAAAAAGTGGAAATCCACAGTTCACGGGACAGTCTAATATTTCAGGGGGTGGTAGATTGGCTGCATGCAGTCATGGGACAGGCTACATGCATTCGTGGGACGTAGGTGGGTTGAGTTTGGGGCCAGTTCTAGAGGTTTTTGGGTCGTTAAAAGCATCAAAAAGCCAGGAAATCCATTCTTACCACCCTCTAAAATATTGGGCTGTTCCGTGACGTAATCTGGGTGAGGATAT